TTGCAAATAGCATAAACGCATTTTGAAGCCGGCGTTGCCGGTTTTCCGTCTATAAAGTACTCCGCGTGCCAATTATTCCGTTTGTGTTTCGCGTAAGTTAATTACGAGGCGATTATTAGCGCGCTTTTGCCGCGAGTGTCGTGTTTTCTACCCGCAAAATTTGACCGCGACATACCGGCGGATCAGCATTTCCAAATCCAGCAACATTAACTTCGTCGTGATAATGCGATAATGCGATGCTGGGGGCCACTTGAAAATAACGACGTTACGTCGATACCGTAATGAATCAGCGGTGAGCGAGCATCGATCAATTAATCACGGAAAATACGATCGGTACCGTTCCGCAAAATCTCCCCGAAATGCAACCACTGACGAGCACTTGATAAGAGACTGATATCGTCCGGCCGATTCGGAATGAGCCAAAATTAATGGTGTTATTCTCCGACGAGGTGCCGGAGTTGTGATTTTTGCTAATTTATTCGCCAGGCAGACATAACAACAATTCAGGTCGAGAGTGGCTATCAATGTAAATTTATTTAAACGTCACTCTAATTGGATCACCTTATACAAACCGGTGCCTTCACGAGGAATCTAACAAGGCTTGAATATAACGAACCCATTTTCTCGCATGTATCGTTACGTTACGTAATCGTGACTATTTTAAATTTAATAACGCGCTTTCGTAGACGAGTGGTCGTTGAATTAATTGCGTTTATTGATTGTCGCGGTACACCACGCTCGTGTCGTTACATCCTACTCCACTTTCTTGCGCCTCATTATCTCGAAGTCGAAGCTCGGTCGCGATTTGGATTGGAAGAGCGTCGCTCGAAATATGTCTTCCGGTTAAATCGAGTTTGAACTTTGATCGCGAAAGAGATATATATATATATTATATATCTTGATTGTATATTTGATGAAGGAAGTCAGAGATTATTAAACGGATCTTGCAGAAGTGAGATTTAAGAACTTTCAAATAAATTTTTATTGAAATAGCATCAGATCTATTATATTATATTTATGACTTTCCGCTATATTTTATCTTTCCGCTTTTTGAAAATAGATTCGACATCGATCTCTTTCGCCGCAACTTGCAAAAAAATGCACCTTTACGTCAACTCAATTCTCTCCTTCGGTGGGAGAATCGCGAGACCGCTTTCGTCGACATATCTTATTTTCCCGCTAGACGCCTTGTACATTGTCCTCGACATGGTTGCGGCTGCACGCCGCGCAAAAAGTAGGGCAAAACCAGTTTGCCCCTCGACGGGGCGAGCTCGTGTAACGACGTACACCTTCCCCGCGTGAGCGCGAAGTCCTGCTCTCAAGGTGGGACATTTATTACGACGACTACCGACGACACCGACAACTTTCTCTGGCAGGATAAATAACGAGGCAACCGGCAAAATATTTTAGCCTGGAGGTACGCTGAGTTACGTGCCCTAAGCCTACGTAGCTTAGAATCGCGATCGGTTCCCTTGTGTTTCTTACCTCGCTGACAGTGAGCTACCACCCTGGATTTGTTGGGTAATTCACGAGGTCAAATATTAACGATTCGGCTCGTTTAAGCTATCGTAACGGCGGAAAACCGCGGATTGTTGAGGATTTGATCTCGTTCTCCGTCTGAACGATAAAACTTAACGAAGGGCGTGCTGCGAAGTTACCGTCGAAAATCTTAGTTTCGTCGCTCCGATTTCTTGCTACACGATTGTTATTTAATCTGTAATTGACTGTAGATCGACGATTAATTTGCTAAACAGAGTGCAGAATGTTAACTCGCTTCCTCCCGATACCTCGAAGTGTCGAAACTGTCGATAATCCTTACTTTTACTTTAACTTCCGTTTCTGGTGGTCGGCGGCTTTATTAGACGGTAATGTTCGCGCGTTGCTATGGCCCTAATTAGGATGAAGTTTTGAGCACCGAGGTTAATGCAGTTATTTGTTTGCCGATAGTCATCCGGCTGCCCGAGCCTCCCGTGTAATTTTATAACTTTGCGCTAATGCCATATTAACGACACGAGGAATTATAAATTTCGGCGTCAAAGCGACCGGTGTTACTACCTAACGAGGCAACGGAGATTTCATTACACCAGGCGCGAAGGGCTCACCCGGCGTAATCGGATTCGCCGGAGGAATTGGGGCATAATTTTCGGAAATACCCACGACCGCACCTGCTTTATCAGTTCGATATTTCGTAATTTAATGGATTACATAATTCATAAAGGCTTAAGGCCTAGGTAATAAGTTATGCTTGCGTGCCCTCTTAAATGTGTCTCTCTAAATATTATATGTTACGGCGTTTCATCTATATTTCACGATTGCTTATTATTTACGATTGATTTATTGAAGAGGATAAGGACTAGAAAGGAAGATATATTTGTTCGCAATATATTCCACCACTTGTTCATATTTTACTATCCACGTATATAATACTCATCATACCGAAACAAGCGTAGTTTCGCGCTGCGATATTTATGAAGCTCGTCGACTTTGAGAAATCACTCGCGACTTCGCGAATCCGTCGAGGGGTCATCAGACGAAGAAATTATACGGCATAAAATAAGCAGCAGTTAGTATTACGAGAATTGCTTCTTCGACTTCTGTAAAGCTCGCGTGGCGCTTGCGTTGGGAGGTCACAGGAGGCGTTTGAAGTCGCCCGAGTCTCTCCGGGGCCAACCGCGCCATCCCACCATGAATTCATTCGCACCCTCATGAAATTCAAAGCAGTCGTTACGCTCCTGGCACAACGGCAACGAGCGCGACGGCGAAGAGGACGAAGAGGACGAGATGGCGCGGATGGTACATAGTATACGTGCTGCAACGGTCGGCGGTGCCTACCCGCCTAGCCTTGCGCCTCTCGGCGTTCAATGTTTTATTTATAATTTGTTTATCTCATCATCTGCTCGGACCTGCCGACTTGTGTATGTAACGGTGTCTACACGACGCCACCGCGTTCGTCAGTGACTCTCAAGCATCCGTCGCAAAAGCATGAATAGTCAAACGTTCCCCTCTCCCTTTGCCCAAAACTTTTTTCCGCGAGCGTTGCAGTCAGCCGGCGTGAATGAGGAAAATAAACTTGGCGAAGCGCGAGTTAGCTTCTCGTACGATGAGAAAAAAAAAGTATATCGGAAGTCGCGGTGAACGTTGAACTTAAAAAGTGCTCGACGGGAATTGAAATCTAAAAATTGTGTGTACATTAGAACTGCATGGGAAATTATCGGTAGCGCAAATAGTGGAGAGGCGTTCCGAGTTTTTCCCCCGTGCGTCCACAGCGGCACCGATAGCCATTGACAACAGATGGAATACCGAATGCATGTATATCGCGCGATTTGGAAACGTTACATAAATTCACGTGACATCCGGATGGATATGGAATCAGGAAAGCGCTCGAGGACCACTCCGGTCGCAACGCCTCGATTCGGTTAATCCTTCGCGCGAAATACCCCGCTAGCGTTGCGCTGACCGATGCCAGCGTTTCAAACTTTGCAATTCGGTTCAGCGGAAGTTAACAGCCAACATAATTATTCACTATTCACTTTTCAAATGGATCTCGCGTAACATGCATTAATCATTTAGAGCGAATGTTCCCATCGACACACTTTTGAATTCATTAGACTGAGAAAAATAAAGCTTTCGTAACGAATAAGGTGATAAGGCGTTAACTGGTGCATAACCAGTTGCACAGTGTTTCGTGCCATACATCAGATATAAATGTGCTGTGTCGGAAGCGTTCGAATGATTTGATCTGACGTTCTCTCGCGAATACACGATTTGCCATGACGTGGTAAAATTCAAGGACAATCCTCATAATTCCACTCTACAGGATGCAGAAATGTGCAAACACTTGCACAATAGATTGAACAATTTGAAAAATGTACAGAGTGTTAAAAGGTGAACGGAGGCGATAACTCACTTGTATTATCGAAACAGAAAATCTCTGCTCGGGTCTGAAAGAGTTGATTGATGCAGATCGACGTTGACTAAGCGTTTTTCATTCAGTTTAATGAGTACGAGAAATGCAACGTAATATTCATTATACACTTGTTATTGTAATTTAATGTGTTTTCAATATTTGAGTTTGTCAATTATCCGTCGCGCAGCGCAGCTCGATTATCGATGGTTCAGAATTATTTTTCGGCCGTTCATTGGGTGTTCGGATTTAATGCACTTTCGAGATCGGGTCGCGTTCGAAAAGTTCAGATGGATGAATAGCTACTGAGGTCAAGCGAAGGGTCGCGAAATCACTCTCGTGTAAGCACGCGAGTCTAAGGAGGTCGAGAACCGACCACTTTAGGCTTCCAGCTTCTGACTCCTCACGGATCGCTTTATTCCGCCGTTGCAACCTCCTTCAACGCGCATTCCTTCGTATCTATCCTATCCCCCTTTCTATCTTAATAATTGAGACATAAGATATTGTAAGTGAATTCTTTGAAACAGTTGACGTATTCTTTCGCGGCGCCACAAAAGCTGTTCGCAAGGACGAGCGAAACGATCTTAATTTTATTTGCAAATTGACAACTAGCGATTTCCAATCGCTTTATTTGTCTAGAAAATATGTATATATAATATATTTGCCTACAAAATAACTTATTTATCTGAAAGTGTCCCGGTTGAAAGGGTTCACGGCGGTTTAAACTTTTAATCAGATAATGGCTCATTTTTAAGCATGTTACAGTTCGGAATTTTGTATTCGTTTGTTTGAAGTAAAAAATAGTTGTGGAATAAAATCGAATTTAACACTATACAAAGTACACGTAATCAACACGCGCTGTTTTACGAGACGCTTTGAATCGACTTGTCGTAGATTATCTACCGAAACTAACTCATGTACATAATTTTCACACACACACACAACGTTTATCTTTATTATTATAACAATAAAGATAAATCTTGTATGCGACGAGACTAAACTATATAATCCTATCGTTACTGCTGTAACTGATATGCAAAATTAGTTTAAATTTAGCGAACGCAATGACTGGCAATCTATATGAGAAAACAAAATTGTGTAAATTTGAATATTTATTTATTTATTTATTTTGTTAACAGCAATACATTTCAATTAAATATTTCACAAAGTTGTCATGTTTATAAATAGATAAAACTTGTCAAAATATATCAACGGACGTAGAGATTCTTAACTTTTTAGAAATAGAAGAAACATATAGATGTATTTTTCGTTCTTATTCAGTTATCAATCATATTGTAATCGTTCTTGATAAATTTAACCACTCTCTCGCCAATCATATTGATGGTAGCAACAGGATTACCAGAAACCACCTAAAAGAAACAACGCGTGTTAATTACAGATTTCAAATTCATGCTCTGAAACGGGTCCTATATCGAAAAATTCGATAAAATATTATTTGCGCCATAAAATATTGTAGTGTGATGTTATCAGTTTTCAAACAACTATGAATTAATGAAGACAAAAATAGCTGTGAATTAATGAAGACAAAAACAACAGTGAATAAATGAAGACAAAGGTAGCAGAAAATTAACGAAAAAAAATATAAAACAAAAATAATTATTGATACCTTGATTAAAATTGTATATTGATGGAAAAATGCGCTTACCCTTGGCATAATGGACGCGTCAGCCACTCTCAAATTATCTATGCCGTGAACCTTAAGACCTGGGTCAACGACAGCCATCGGGTCGTCAGAGGGGCCCATTTTACAAGTGCCGGCTTGATGGTTTTCAGGACGAGTATTGTATTGGCATTGGCAATCCCAATATTCCTCGGTCAGAACTTTATTATGTTTTTTATATTTTTGGCATTCCGGGACAGTGTTGTCCATCATTTTTAAACGATACTTCCATAATGATATCCCCTTTGTCAGTTTCAAGATATACTGAATGCCTTGGTAAATAATTGCTCTATCCTCCGGATGCCCCATGTCGTTACTCCAGATGATTGGGGGCTCCGTGGCGTTATTCGATTTAAGCGTGATTCGGCCTGAAATTCATTACATTTTTGCTCTTCAAAAAAAGAAAAAAAGAAAATTTTCTAATTAAAAAATTTTTTTTTATTTTTTATTTTCTTTATGTTTAACTATCATTTGATTGTAATGGATTTTCTTTTAATATCGTTATTGATATCGTGAGGATAGAATAAAAACAAATTATTGAGCTCTTAATATTAAAGTAGACAAAGATATTTAAATAATTTCTATGGATAATGCACAGAGAAAAAGAAAGAAAATATTCTTAAAATCTTGTTGAACATATTATGAAGTACGCGTGTTACTTTTTTATTAGAAAAAGAATTTTACGATTTTTGTTTCATCAAGATTCGGATCTAAAATTTTGGAACACATGCGTATTATATATATTATAAACTTACCTCTACTGCGTGAGTGAAGATTTACGGCGGTAATTCTGATGGTCTCTTTATTATTGTACGTATTTAAATCCGCGATCCTACCGCCTGTATCACAAACAGCTTGATAGCCGGCGAAGAAGATCTGAATGTCCGGATCGTCCGGGGTAGTATAGCTAGACGCCAAGATTCCAGTGAGTTGAGCCAAACCCGTAGACGACATTGGGCCGGTTTGATTGTTTATATATTGATTGACATTGTCCATATTTAGCAGATTTTGTTTCGTTTGTTTGGAAGTGAAGTCTATGCCGTATGACACATGGTTGTGAAGGTTTTCACCGACTCCCGGTAGATCGAGAACTGTTTTAATGTTCACTTTTTCTAACTGTTCCTTCGGTCCGATTCCCGATAGGAGCAGCAGTTGAGGCGAATTTATAGTACCGGCTGAAAGAATTACTTCTTTTTTCGCTTTTACTATATGCTTCTTGCCATTCTAAAAACAAACAATTATCACGTGTTAAAATATATAATTGTTTTGTGAAAACATAATCGTGAACATCAAAATTAAAGAGAAATACAATGTATAAGCTCACCATAAAGACCTCAATTCCCGTAGCTTTCAACTTCAAATTGACTTTCTGTGTAGTGATTTTCATCACGGTCGCATTTATAGCGACGTGCAGATTTTTGCGGTTTCTATGCGGCCACAGGTAAGCTCTGGAAGCACTAAGTCTAACGCCATTTCTGCTAATTGTTTGCGCCACGGTGAATCCTGTGATCTTCTCGCCCACCATGTCTTCGGTGGATCCTAAGCCTACTTGCTTCGCCGCCTTTATTACGTCCCAAGCGAATTGTGGCTGCCAAGGAAATCTATTAATGAAAGCAATTAGAAAGTTTAATTCGTACATATAAACCGATTAAAGCGTCAAGAAAACTATAGAGATTGCATTAAAGACATATTGTAGTTCTAAATGTACAAATCACATTTAACTTTTCAATCGATAATTGCGATGTAAAGATAAACGCGACACACACACACACACACACACACAACACTGGAATATTTTTTAAATAATTTGTTTAAATTAATGCAACATTACAGTCGCATATTTATCCAAACATTTCAACTATCTTAAAAAATTCTCTTTACTTGATATGTTGTGAATCGAACAATTGCTACACCATAGAAAAGGTGTAGTGAAAATGAATTTAGGAAAACGTATTTTCGCACCTTTCAACTGTCATCGGTCCTCCAGTGCCATGATCCTTAGCGCTGACCCTTCCAATTTCTTTATTGTCTTCCGACATCTTGAAGTACGGCAACACCTAACAAGAAATGTTTATTAATAACATTTTGCGCTATCACGAATCTACAATTAACTATTTCAACGTACATCCTCCCATGACCATCCCGCGTTACCCATGTCCATCCATCTTTGATAATCTTTTGCGTGACCTCGATGATAAGCCATACCGTGATGAGAAGTGCATCCGCCAAGATTTTTGCCTCTTGGCCAGGAACAGCTGCCGTTATTTGCCAGACAAGCGTGAGATTCGTTCGAAGTTTTGTACCTCCAATCCAGATCCGTGTCTGCAATCACGATTAAAATTAATTACGGACGATCACAAATCTCGGCTGATACAAGAGTGCTAAGATGCATTACTGAGGTAGAGTTGTAGATTGCTTGGTACTTGGGTGCCGGCTGGTTCATCTGGTCCAGCTTCCACGAGAAGTACATTCCAATCTTTATTCTCGCTCAACCTAGCGGCCACGACCGATCCAGCCGCGCCACCTAAATTAAAAAACAAGATACTGTGTGATGATCCTGATATTTAACTAGTTCATTTTTATTCGCGACGATACAATTTAATCACACGGAGAAAACTTTATATAAAAAATTACTATGTACGACATTAACCGCGAATCATGAAGCCGCGGACCGAAAATTTTCACTATGTTTCACATATGAAAAACATAGTAAAAGTTTTTATAATTCCTTTACAGTCCGCGGCTACTGCCGTACATAGTAATTTCTGATATAAAATTTTCTCCGTGCAACAATCTCATGTGCTAAATATAATTTAACGAATAATTATCTATTACATTTGCCTTATCTTACCTCCGACGACAATGAAATCATAAGAAGTAGCGGGTTTTGTGATTGGTGTAATATGCCGGCATGGATCGTTAATTGCGAAGCTATAAGCAGTTAACGTGCTCACGAGAGTTAGAAATGAGCTTGTGGAATTGGCACTGCAGACGTCTTCCAATGAGAGTCCATATACGAAAGGCGACGGACACGGTGTCTGTGGTGTATACGCTGGTAAACTCTAAAACACGACACAACGTATAGTTTATACGATTAAATATACTGCCGCGATTAAGGATCTTGATATCAATTTTATTATCGTATAACTGTTATACATCGCATAATGATGCTTTATTACGTTGTGAATATCACGGCTATCATTATCACGAAATCACTATACGCGCAATCAAAATTTAAGTGGCGTAATAATCTAAACGGATTTAACGCGTTGAATATCGCGTAATTTTCTCGATTAATTTTACAAAACTTCACAAAACTTTAATTAAAAATAATTACGGCAGGCAAAAAGTATAAGTTTATTTTGAATTATACTTCGTCCGCGTTTTAATTTCTATCTTAAAGTGTTGGAAGGAAGTTTTAGTAACAAGAAAGAGAATATTCGATATTCTCTTATTATTGCCTCGAAACCGTGGAATTTGCATTAAAAATTGAAAAAATTAGTTTTGTCACGCTTGTAAACCGTACTATTTCGATTGTTTCGCTATTTACTTTTTTCTAAACACTCTTCCTTGCGGAACAATTCATCCGTAAGCGTATCAACATACCATTTTCCGTAAATGCGCTTGTCCTCAGACTCGTAAGGAAAACTCTCCGCTCCACTTGCGCGTTGCTTCCCGATTACGATGTTCTTTTCGATGTCGCTCTTTATTATATACCCGTTTCGCATGTGCATATGCACGTTCCCCGAAATGTCTAGGTTGTGATTAAGTGTTTAAGCATAACTTGCCGATAATAGCGACACTTGTTATAGCTTGTACTTGTCATACACATTTGTAAATCATTGTACGTGCTATCGTTGTGAGAAATTGATGAATAGCGTGTCAGTAAAATAGTGCAAATGGCGTAGATAACTATGCCTTCCTCATTTCCATTCTTCCTTCCTCATTTCCATTCTGCCTTTCGGAAGTAAAGTTTTTTTATGTAAAAATTTAGCACAAAACTTAGAAATGTTAATTTCACAAACATAAACATAAAATTGCATTGCACGATCAGAGTAATATTTATAACAGTTTAATTATTATGAATATCAAAAATCTTTTCTTTCAAGATTTTAAATATTTATGTCACATCATCAAGCAAACTTATATTTGATTAGACTAAGTGATTTTATTATAATTCACAATTTCGTTTATCAAATTTATTTTGCATGTTTCTTTTACGCGTTTAACTTGTATGAAACTTTCATTGAATACTTTAATGCGTTTTTTATAATACATAATTCGTAATGCAGTAGGAGCGGATAGTCGGAAACGGGTCTGAGCGATGTTCCGTTTGGTTTTTGCGTACTATGCAATCTTGTTTATTTACAGTATTTTGATTTACACTCGCACTCTGCGAGCTATCCATATTTATAATCCATTTAATTTTCTACATATTTTTTTGTTAACAATTAATCACTACATTTTTGGCCGTTGATATACCAGGTACCAGAATTTTTGTCTTTGGTCATTATTTCAACAGGAAGTCCATGAATGGTGCACATTATACGTTACAACTACTAGAAATTTGAAGGAGAGATTATTAGCACATATATTATTATCAATACGTGCGTACATCCAATTGTTTTCGTAACTCTAAACGTAATTAAACAAATAGGAAATTGCAACTCATTCGAGGAATTAACGATAATAGTTAATACAATACTCGTAAGTTGTATGAAAAATTTGCTCTCGCAACGTCGCGGTCAATTGACCACGATAGATCTTTCATAAGCCGCGGTGCTACGAGACGCGCCTATCTTAGGAAATTCTTAACTGGATATTGAAACATGGCGGTACAGCGAGTACGACGACAATCTTCAATTGCACGATTCTCTCCGTCTCGCTGTGTTAGTAACAGTAATTGCACATTGTGACGTAATTTCGTATCCAATCCAGCGCTCGAGCGATCGAGCGAGATGTGATCTGGCTTGATGCCGGAGAGAAAGGAAATTGCACCCTACAGGATTTTCCAGTGAGTCCTCGCCCTTTCGGAATCGCGTTCACGTTGGCTTTCTTAGGCTGAGGGAAAATAGGCGATGGATCATAAGAGACTAGATAGATCGTGGAGCCCGGCTCTACCATACAGCTTGATCCCAATCGATGTACTTGATCCCCCATAGTAATAGGTCCAGTGAACTGTCGACCGTCGTGCGAGAACTAGGAAACATGGTAAATTGCTGGTGACTAATGATGCTTCCAATGGTCGTTTTTCCATATCGGGCTATGGATAGGTGGTTTCCCGTACCATTGTGTACCGCCAACCTTCCAGTCGGACTTGATGAACGCGGCTGCCCTTTCGCCAATCATCATGGCCGGAGCTGCTGTATTGCTGGACGTTACCTTTAATCACAAATACGCTTTTGTATTTTCTGAGTTTTCACAGTTTCGGAAAAGTTTCGCGAAGATTAGATATATCGAACGAAATATTGAAATGAAACTAAGAAGAAACGACAGAAATTGAAACATATTATTGATATTGCAGCACGAATATTTATAAGTTTATTCCTACGTAATCGAAAATCTCAATAAATCTTAGAACAGAAATGTTGGCCATAAAATATCAAATTTAAGCGACTGACACTTTTTCAAGTTAATAAAAAATACTTTTTGAAATCAAAGTAATGTTAGATGAGCTTTGATTAAAGTGATATTTCCGTGATTATACTATTATTTACCTGCGGCATGATGGATGCATCGGCCACACGGATATTTTTGATGCCGTGCACTCGTAAACGTTGATCGACGACGGCCAAGGGATCGTTCGATGGTCCCATTTTGCAAGAACCTGCCTGATGATTTTCCGGCCCGGTGTCCTGACGCACGGCGCAGGCCCAATATTCGTTGCTCGAGTATGGATGTTGGGAACACGCGGCCAATATCGCGTTGTTCAAAGTCAGATTATACTTGGCCATGGCACTGCTATTGCCGAGAGATAACGCGATCTGGATGCCCTCGACGAGTACCGCGACGTCCATGGGGTCACTCAAGTAATTGCCCCACATGATTGGCTTCGTGAAAGGATTATTGCTAGCGAGACGTAGATTTCCTGAAGCCATTCAACTCGTTAGAGGCAGCATTGACCGGCGATTAAAGAATGCGCTGATGCGTGATTTATTAACTGTTGAAATTCGCGCGTGCGTTTCACGGATCGCCGATGTATGTAACGAGAAGCAATTAATTAATCAATTTGTAGAGATTTCGTAATAACCTGATTGCCGGACGAGCTGGATCTATCATTTCCGCGTTAAATTACGTATGGAATTTTGCACGGCCGTAATCGATAATAAATTCAACGCGATTACCATTTGATTAGCATTTTTCTGGAACGTGAGTTCAGCACTTTCGGATTATTGCGCCGCTTACCCTTGCTACGCGGTTGCGTCATCGTCGGCGACATACTGATACGGCGGCCGTTCCCGTTCATGACGGCGCCTACTTCGCCGGTGGTCGCGCAGGCCGCCTGATAGCCGCCGAAGAACAACTGGATGTCGGGATGATCCGGAGTCGTGTAGACCGACGGTAGCATTCCGGTCAATTGCGACAGACCCGTCGACGCCATTGGCCCTTTCTGAAAGGCGATATATTCCGTCGCGGCCGCCCAGGTCAGGTCGTACTGATTCGGCTGATTGATGATCCACGATAAAGTGTAGGACACGTGATTATGCAAGTTCTCGCCGACACCTGGAGCAAAATAGCGCGACCGATCGGAAACGTGATTATCAATCTCGTCGTAATTCCCGCCGGCGAAATGTCGAAATTGCTCGTTTCAATTAATTGCGATTCATAGCGCGTTTCACAAATGTCAAATTTATGCTTTCGCATAAAGTTTTCACTGGTATACGTCCTAACGTGGACTTCTCGCACCTATTCAGAGAAGTTAATTTCATCCTTTAAACAAGAGGCGCTCCGAGGAACTCGAAAAACTAATTTCTTCAAGTAATGAGCAATTAATCTTCTTTCTACAGCACAAAAGTCTCATTTAGTTCCTCGTTGTATAATATTTACGTCTAGCTCGATACCATCTTCTTAATGTGGAATTAATAAACTTTCGCATATTACGGAATTACGCGCAATTCTGACGGACGATTATTGTTCCTTTGAAACGATGTATCGACCTCATTAATAATTTACGTGCAATGAATGGATTGCTTACCTGGAAGATCTTTTACGACTGTGACGTTCACCGCCTGCAGATGCTCCTTCGGTCCGATTCCGGAGAGTAGCAACAATTTAGGTGAATCTATGGCGCCAGCGGAAACGATTACCTCCTTTGCGGCGCGGGCAACTCGAAGTTCACCACCCTAAAGATGCGTTCATTGAAACTCACATCACTAAACTCGCCCCCGTATTTCGAAGCGCGAATTTGATTTCGCGTCTAAGTGCCGGTAACCGTTGGCAAAAAGCAAAGTTTCCCGATGATGCGCAATATTGTTACATGTTGCAATGCAGTAATATATATATGTCTATTTTTAGTAACGCCTATTTTACAAGATTTTACGCGTCACAAGATTTTCGCTACTTTAGCAAAGTTGCCAAGTTGAAATTCAGCCACTAATAACAGCTTGATTTTTTACTCATTTTCTGAGATTGAAAAACGTCCGACAACTAAGCTAGAACGAATCAATTATTAGCTTGCACACGAAAAATTTATAAAAGCAGCAGACGGGACAAAAATTACGTTATTAACACCCATGAAAGTGATTCTATTACGTGACTTTTGCGCATGGCTACTAGAGCGTTAATATAGATAGCTTAATATAGATAAAACAATAAAATGATATAAGACCCTTGGCAAATTCTCGTTCGTGCATAATGCAAGTTTTTTCAAGCATGGCGTTCAACGTATTAATAGAACTTAGCAATAGTTTTTCTGTAACTCTCGGCTAGATAAAAATCTTTTACTCGCAATATCGTGACAAATAGAATTTCCGGAAATATTCGTAAATTTCTTATTTGCGCAACATTTAACGAATATTAAAAAATTACTTAATAACATTGTTGCAAAGTGTGGCAACTTGAAAGCTACATTATTAATTTTGTTGTCTATAAAAGATGGCACACGCAGGAGATTTCTACTTCTTTTTAGTTGTACTAAAATTTTTCAATATTTATAGAGGCCTGTGATTTAGAATTAAATTATTTTTTTAAGTAATTTCTAAGAGGTAAAACGCGATGAATATGATTAAATGAAGAATGATTATATAAACTGATGATTATATAAGTTTTATTTTTGCGATAATATTAGACTTTTATGCCACATAACTATAAAAAAAATCTGATTTATTGTTGTTGAAATTGTAAATATTTTTGATAACTTTACGTGCCAACATTCTCTTTTTTAAATAATAATTACCAATTAACTTAATTATTAAGTATTATGTTAATATATTAACAGTCAATTTATCACGATAATATAAAGTAGAGAATATCTCCTGTGCCATTGATCTCGCGAAAGGGAAGAGAAAAAAGGGGTTAAGAGAAGAAAAATGTATAAAAATATATACTAACTTGATAAAATTGTACTCCCACGGCCTTCTGATGCTGGACAATGATTTTCGTCGCGGTGGCGTTTAGAGCGATATGTAAGTTGCGTCGCCTTCGAACCGGTCGAAGGAAGGCACTGGCAGTACTCACTCGGACACCATTCTTACTTGTGGTTTGAGCCACGGTAAATCCTGTAAATTGGTCTCCATTCAGGTCTTCACTAATCGGGTACCCTCTTTCGCTCGCCGCTGCGAGAATGTCGTCAGCGATTGCAGGCTTCCACGGAAATCGTTCGACGGTTAACAAACCACCGGTCGAATGATACTTGCGACCCACTCGACGTATCTCTGTGTTGTTCTCAGAACACATGAAGTACGGCAAAACCTAACAAAATTTTTACTTTTATTCCCAGGAAGTTATTTCTTTATCTCTTTCCAAAGATTTCAAAATTGACAAAAATATTTATCGATAATGTATCAATAGATTTTGTTGGTCTTGAATATAATTTCAAGGAACTTAAATAATATTGAACCGAGGTTTGTAATATTGAACCATGGACTAGAACATATGTTAATAATACTTCAAAAGTTCAGATTTGAAAGGACCGTTTATAGACAAATGATAAATGAATTGCGTTGACCTGAAACGATAATTTCTGTTATCCTCAATTATGATTCAATTTTATAAGCCTTGTATTTTAAATGGATTGGATCTTAAATAGATTTTGTCACTAATAGAAATTAGTCATATTTGAATAATCTGAAAATGGATCATTATTTAAGATAGTTTACTAAGGCAAATCTGTGGGATCTTACGTCGCGCCAACTCCATCCAGTATTACCCATGGCTAGCCAATTGTCAAAATCTTTCGCGTGACCTCGGCTATACATCATACCGTTGTGGACGGACGTCCCGCCTAGGTTTTTACCGCGCGGCCAACTGCAGGATCCGCCGGTTGACAGACAAGCGTTCATCTCGTTCGTGGTTTGATACTGCCAGTCAATGTCAGTTCCTATCGGCAAAATTGTCAGATCGTTTAACATGCGTAAAACTCGCAACGGATCGCAACAGCTCTCGCAATAATATAGATTCCAGATGAACACTGCAACAATTTCTCTCGGGGAGATACTCGAAACATCATATTTTATAATGAAAATGGTCTAATTTCCCGTAGAAATATGAATATATCAGATACATCGTGTCGGTTTTTATTTCCGTGAATTTAAAATCAATTTTATTCTTGGAATCAATTTTCTTCTGTAACAAAATTATCGGAAGATTAATAATCGTTGAATATTAAGCATTTTAAATGCCTGTCTCAAAATTAGATTTTCGAGGTGCTAAAACATTAATTCTTATGGAATTTTGAACGGATTGGCACGGAATTTTGTTATGAAGATTATTTAGCAAGATAATTAACGTCAGAGATTGCATATGACGTAGGAAAATCTTTCAAAATAAAGCGCGAAAAACTCGAATATTTCTGGCATTATATTTCTCATTAAGTTTCTGATAAATCAATGTTGGACGTTGAGCTAAAAATCGAAATTGATTCTGAATTGTAGCTAAAGCCACACGTACGAAACATTCTGAATGCTCATTATCGTGGTAAGGTTTGAACATAGCGTAGATAGCAGAACAACAGGACTGTGTATACGAAAGGTCCAATTGAAACTTACCCAGAAACATTGCCACCATACTGGGAACCTCGGCACCCGGTGGCTCGTCCGGGCCGGCTTCTAGCAGCAAAACTTTCCATTCGGGTATGTCGCTTAGTCGAGACGCCACTATGGCACCGGCTGATCCTCCTAATTCCGAAGCGACAAAAGTCATTAAAGTCCTATCGTTATTCAGCGCGAACGGGATGCTATGAGAAAAATGCATTCGCTTGACGGACGGCGAGTGGAAGAAACAGGCTTCAAGCGAACGCTGTTAATTGCATTCGCCGGAAGGAAAACATCTGCGCGACTCTAATTAACTTTTTTTGGCGATTAGATTTATCATCGACCGATAAATCGCGGTTTCATCGCCGACGGATTAATCGCGAATTGCCCCCTCGCCGTCCATATATGTATTAATGATAGGCGCGAGGAAAGCCAGGAAGAGAGTAGTCCCATGTGCCCGATAAGAGCTGAAAAGTCACTAGTCGATGATAATTATAGTGCCGACATAACGACGTAATGGATAGCCTCAGATTGTTATGTTAATTAACTATCGCCGGATGTACTGTAGTTTGCTGCGGCTCTTGTTATTACGATCCTATCAATTGTTGCGAAAAAGCTTGTCTGCGGCACATTGGAAAGCTGGTAGTTAAGGCCTTGGCAATGGTTTGCCAAGAGCTGTGCGTAATTGCTGTACCGTGCACGTATCACATTTTTGCACGCTCCGAAGATTTTGACGAATTGCGCTTTATATTTTTCCTTTCCAGATTTAATCACATTTATTAATCACGTTTCTTCATTTTTTTTTAAATGAATTTTTCTGATATTGTTAAACTGCACTGTAGAATACATAATTTATATGTGTATGAGAAATCTATGCCAAAGTATTTTGTAATCGTTATTTTATTTTGATAATTGCAAAACAATCTGTTTGATTGACATGTTTATAGTTTCGAGTGTCTTGTATCCTTTTAATTAGATATCGAGCTAATTTACATGCCCGTATTTTTATCTTTGGTTGGAATATTATGAGCAGCAGATATTCTAAAATATACTTTGACCTCTTAAGTAAAAGATTTTATCACTTTTTTTTCGCAACACTAAGCAAATGAATTGCTAATTTAAGTTTCGAGGGAAAACAAGCTTGCTTCTCTGCAAGTTAAGATTTGTGCTATTGCGTGGTCTGTTGAAATTTGCGAATGTCACTGCATTATCGGTGACGTTCGTTTAAAAGGGTCACGCAACTTGGCATAATTAGAACATCTATACGGCGCAGATATAATGATACGAGAACTTTAATAACGTTGTTTCACCTTACATAAAAATTTTTTATTTTATTAAAATGAGCCGATAATATTCATACTGACGATTCGTATTTATTATTATTTTGTTTCGTAACGTCTGATTAATTGAACGGATTAACTCAACGAGACCGTGAGATATGAGCTGCATGTGACGTAAATACGTTCCGCTGGTCCGTCGCTTACATCGAAATCGCGTTAATCGAATCCTACTTTCCCGCAGATATTACGGATTACAAGCGGGATATTCTAATCAAGAAATTCAATTAGCATTTCCGCATGTGTATCAAATCGCGTTATAGCAACCGCCACTTGCGTAATACGATTTACTCTCTCTATTTTGTCGATCGCGCATAATTACATCCATGTAAATCAGCTCACGTGTAACGGCTAAAATACAGCTGGTTTCTTCTTTGACTAATCTCTTCCGTATGAATTCACTTACGCACGGTGTTTTCACAGCTTAATGTTCTGGCGCGCACGCAAAACTTGAATTTTACCTTGTTACATGCGGAAGCGTATTTTATTGGCATTTTTTATTGGCAGAATTGATCAGTTTTTTAATATGATTGATTTGAAGAGTCGAAGAGAAAAATTTTTCAATCAAGAAATTTTTTTCTGTTATTTAAAGCGTAGTATATTTTGCCGACACGAAAAGCCACGGTAATTTCATAATAGAGGTCAGAGCGCATCCGTGGAAGCCAATCTGCATTTCTGGCATAAATACCGGGATTTGTGCAGGGCGATACATTATTTGCATGACCCCAAAATCATAATAGTGTAACGAACTGGTAATCTTTCTCGCTGTAATGGTGCACTCGATAACAGGCATTATCGTACAGTGAAAAATTATCTTGAAAAATAAAGACGCGTGCTTCGCAAATCCATAAATATGGCACATATAAACATGTGATATATGTATTCTCTATACATATTATTTATATAAAACTTCTTATTTTATTTTTTTATTATTCAATATTACATTAATCGAGAAAATTAAAATTTGCATTAATTTTCAATTTTAACATATTGAACATCTTTGCTAATGGATTTATAAATGAATTTCACACATTAATAGTACATAGTAAAATTAATATTTACTTAATCACAGCCGACGTAATGTTATTTGAAAAATTGCACATGTTTCCATTATTTTAGAGATGAAATTTATGGATTTATCGACTACAATTCACGCGATAAAATATTTCCGATCGCGCCACTTTTCCTTCTTCCGCTCGATGGAATACTCGCGTTTGAGTTGATGGTTGTTAAACGTGTTTGTAACGTGCTCAAGAGGCACGACGCTACCGTTTGCAGAAAAACGAGTTACGCGGTGAAACCGCTGGTTCTCTTCCTTCTGTCTGTAAATAGAAATGAAAATAGCGTCCAGAAAGACGTCCTGGAAGGAAGAAAAATGTGCTAGCATGTTCACGCGGGTTTGCGCACGCGCCAAATTCGTCTCTTGGTAATTAGTCGTCCGCTTGAACTTGACGCTGCAACCGTAAAAGCGGAGAGCCCGCATTTCTAAAGAAGAATTTTCATATTGACGCCAAGTTGGAACAAACCGGGAAGAATTTTATCCGCACTAAATCAGCTTAACGATGTCTATAATTAGCTCCTTTATGAGAGCTAATTTGAATTCAGCAATTAATAGGGAAATTACTTTCTGTTCCGGACAAACTTCGATGTACGTACTTTAAATAAGCAAACGTGAACACAAATTGGATTAATTAATTATATTGCTTCAGAGATATAATATTGCTTAAATAGTTTTATTGGTTACATTATTACTTGAACAAATTATATGTTTCAATAAATATCCCGAGCTTTTTATTACGCTCATACAGAAATAAAAAGTTTGAAGCAAATTTATTGAAGAATATTTATTTTTAATAATAATGGTTTTGCTGCTTAAAATACTACAAGGCAAGAATAAATGATAACGTTTGAATTTTTATGATTACTTTGTACACGAGTGATAAATTTATGTAGTTTTAAATAGCTCTATTTTGAAATGTTAACTTTTTCTTAGAAAGTTCATTTTTAACCTGTTTTTTTCATGCTTGACTCAACGCAGATCGAGAAAAATATGTTGTCTAATGAGCATACTTTATGCAAATGTCGTTCTTGCCTCGCTGGAATAGTAAATATTCTCCCTGTTGCACTCTGGAATTGTTCTTCGTTTCTTACGTTCTTCGCAGATCGGCGACCCGTTCTCGGCGCAGCAGCGCGGAAAATAGACTGCGTCCGATCGCGATCGTTCTTGTCACCGTTCTTTCGGCATTCGCCCGGATTCTCTTTGCAGTCAGTAAAGTGGTAACGTCGCGAGCAACGGGGCACGATAGTCATTTCTTTCCGCGTGATTTTCCACGCGATGCGTTCGCGTTCATCGAAAAAATATTCTCTCGACGCCGTTCGAGTTTAGACGGTATCTTATGGTTGGCTATTTCGATTGCATGCACAGTAATTTCCTCTTTGTGTTGCATGAAATATGTATCATAGCGATATATACTGAAACACTCGTTGACAACCCTCTTTGTAACGAGCGCGTTCGTGAGAGACGCTGAAGACATAAGTGGAAATATGACGTTTGCGGGAGAGATAGCGTTCTTGCTTTGTGTAACATTAGCCGAAACGCTCTAGCACCGCTGGGAATTTTAATAGAGTCGACTGTGGCAACGACATTCGCCAGTAATAAAGATTGGTGGAGTTGTTATGAGATTTTGTAGAATACTTGGACAACGATTACTTTTATTAACCTTTGAAAATCAGAATATGAAGCACCGTATATTTACAAAAGGCAAACAAATGGGTGCTGCTATTGCTTATTCAAATAATCCTTTATTTTGATATAATTAATATTGTATTTATTATAATTAAATATTACTTTATAATTTTAAATAAATGTATCGCTGTTGTGTATATAATAATTTCAATATTGACAGTAATACATTCCCCTGAATTCATGAATTTGTGGAGCGATTTTTAATTAACTTCTTTGAAAATCAAGAGAACAGTGTATTATTTTTTACGAATATTGTCGCAATTTTGTTGTTGATTTTAATTGTCATAAAGTTTTGTTTGCTTTTTGTGTTCTTTTCGGTAGCTAATTTACATTTGATAATTAATCATTAAGCTACTATGTTTATTTGTAAACATTATAATATCTTTGTTTATTATGTAATTCAATAATAAGAGCAAATAATCTCGAAATGTTGTGTTCCCATGTCATTAAATTATCGTTGGCCACCCTAAAAAATTAAGCCATTGGTATTCGGAAAATAACAAAGAAATCATATTTTTTTTATAGAGTAATAATACTTCTCCGTATCGCTTATATATTATTAAATCTCGTGCGCGATGACGAGGGAGTGATAAAGTGGAACGCTTATCGAACAGTTCCAATATCGATCGGTCACGAGCAAAAAGCGCGCACGCCGCCGCGAGGCTGGAAAAACGCAATGGAGAGCGCGCGCCTAATTTATGTGTCGCAATGCGAACGTTTCTCGGCTTGTTACTTCCACTAGGCCCGCAGGGAAGAAGGGAGAGGGAGGGAGAGAAAGGACACCGAATTTTTGAAAATCCACGATAATCCGCGAGCACGATAATTTCAGCGCGTGTGCCGGCGGCGTTTTCTTCTCTGCGCGTCGCGGCTTCTCCCTCTTTTCCATTCTTCCGCGCTGTAACGTCGGCTGCATTTGTACGAAACCGTAGACCACCAGGTGAAAACGGTTCTTCCCTGATAAAAACGACCTGCCTCTTATGTAAGCATCGCGTATAACGCAGCCGCATATATGCACCTACTGAAAGGAGCCCGCGATGCATCGCTCGACGAGCGTGCGAGTG